TCACTTGTTGGCTGTTGCTTAGATTGCAGCTCACGTGCTCTTCTGTAGCCCCTGCAGTGTCTGGGGGGATGCAGATCGGGTATCAGCTAAGCTGCAGTAGTGGGGAACCCCACCGCTTGCAGGGTACGCCGGGTCACATAACTCATTTGAGCCTCACGATCACAGGCAGGGAAACTGAGTCTCTCAGAGAACAGATTTGGTTGAAGGCCTTGCCTTAGCTCAGACACTCACCCCACACTGGCCTTGACTAGGTGGGAAAGACACTAGGTCCCCACCTGGCCGGTGAGAAAGGACCTTTGGCAACAGGTCATGGGTGAGAGGAAGGCTCCAAAGTCAGGTGCTTTGGCTTCATAGGTCTGTGCTAAGTAGGGTGACCATCCCATTCTGGACCCCTCTGAGAGCAGAGGGGCCACCATATATAATCACAGGACGATCGGCACAAACCCAGCTGGCAAACGAGGATGCATGCTCTAATGGTAAGGGTGTGCCCGGGGCCAGGGAGTCTGGGAAGCTGTGCTGGGTGCTGCAGGGACACTGAGACGGAGACACCCTCGCCACCCTTGGGCTGGCGGTTTGCTGGGAGGCGGAGACAGAGAAACGCATACTGGAGGTGACCAGTGGGGAAGGAGGGGCCAGCTCAGTCACTTAAAAGCAGCGTCTGAGGGTTTGTCCCCTTGCACTTCAGTTCCACAAAGGAAAATAAAATCTGTTTACATCGGAAACATGAGAAATCAAAGCACACCTAGAACACTAGGTTTCCCCCAAGAAAACCTAGTAAGTTTCCTAACAGGAGGATGGGAGCGCCCAGCCCCAGCCACTGGCCGGGACTTTATGGAGATGGTGGCATTTGAACTGGGCCTCGAAGGGTGCGTAGAACCATGGCCGACCGCAGAGAAGAAGGGACGGAAAGCCTGTGTCTGTCCAAGACGCAGGATGTGTCATTCTGCGAGGGGCTCAGTCACACATGTAACGGAGGGGGTCACACAGGACTGGCCTGGCTGCTGCCCTGATCACGGGCTGCACCGTCGAGTCACTGTGTTCATCCTGACTTCTTGTCACTAGGAGAAGTGACATCAACGGCTGGCTGGGTTATAAGGAGGAAGGTGGTTTTCCTGTGTGTTGTGGCGGAGTGCCACCACCTGCAGGGGCGCCCAGGGTGGGCCCAAAGCTCCAGTCCCACGTTGCTTCCTACAGCTCCCCCTTCCCACGACACACACCCAAGGAGCCGTGCTTTCAGCTGCCCAGAGGTGGCAACCCCTTGAGAGCCCTCTCAGGACCCGGGGGCAGCTGACACCGGTGTTTCAGGTCTGCTCAGGCCCTGGGCAGCGGAGCCTTTCCCTGACTTTGTCTTCCCGAGCCTGGCACCACCAGGGCTAGGGGCCCCAGAGGCTCCGGTAGACAGGGGCCCGAGAAGGCGTCGTCCACCCTCCGTCCAGGCCTCTGGTTGGTGAAGCCAAAGGAGTCCAGGTGGCAAAAAAAAAAAAAAAAGCTTTGGGTAGCTGAGGCCCAAATTCCAGCCCCCAAGCCTATGAAGACTGGAGGTGACAGGATGGGTCTGGGGTCCTGAATGGTCACCTCCCAGGAGACCCAGCTGGCATAACTGGCCCAGCACCTCTGCAGAAAGGCTCATTGCAGGAGCAGCAGGTGGTCATGGTGCAAAGAGGGAACAGAGCCTAGAGGAGTGAGAGGGGGCCAGCCTCGGAGAGGCCTGGAATGCCAAGCTCAATGCCAGGGCACAGACTAACTGGAAGTTCTCTTTCCTGCTGGAAGACAATGGGCTCTGGCTTCGTGCATCACCCTCCCCACCCACCCCCGGTGCTCTTAAGGTCCACGGGGCTGGAGTAAATGGGTCTGACGTCTTGTCACCATCGTATGTACAGCCCGACAGTACCACAGACCGTGTTCATGATGGCCACCGTTATCAAGTAGCTCGAGTAGTGTGTTATTAGCTGTCATGAGCCTCATTTTACAGATGGGAAAACTAAGGCTTCTGCAGCCCAAACCTTGTCGGGGGCACAGCTGGAGTGTGAGCCCAGGCCACTTGTCCTCTGTGCTGTGGCCTTCAGTCTGCGTCCTCTGCCCATGGGTGCTTGCTGTCTTTCACAGGCCGGTGCCCGACCAAGACGAATGTCACCGTGCACACTCCAGCTAAGGAGAAATGAGCACCCAGAGGGCCTAAGAGATGAGACGTGCAGACTCAGCCTGGGGAACGCCCTGTACTCTCCTCCCGCAGCCTGGAGGCGCCACCCCTTTGCTCTGTTGAAATCCTATTCCTCCTTCAAGACCGGCTCAAATGCCAGCTTCTCTGAAACTGGCCCTGCCGGGCAGAATCGCTCCTGATCTGGGCCCCATGAACTTTGAACTTTGCAGCTGACCAGCCGGCTGCACCCCACTCACTCACATTCAGCCTTGACCTCCTGCGGGGTAGGGGGGCGTCTTACCCACCTCCCCACCCCCACAGGGTTCTGCACACACTCAGGCCCACAAATGCTTGTGGTCCAGAGACCAAGCCCAGAGTCCCTGGGAATGGCTGTGGCCAAGCCCACAGGTGGACAGAGCCAAATTAGCAGGTGCCTCCAAGGGCTCACAGGGCCTCCAGATGCCCTTTCCCAGCCCCAGAAACGAAAACAGCCCTGTGGCAGCTGAGCTACTTTTACCCTTCCCAGAAGCCAGCCAGCCCCGCCTGGGCTCCCAGCCAAGGCAGCTGCAGCTCCCACCTCTCCCATCCTGCCTGGCCAGCTCCCTGCCGCTTCCCCCAGCTCCCCTGCGCCACCTTGGCCCACTGGGGCTCCTGCCTTATTTGCGCCCCGTTCCTCTGCGTTGCTGCAGCCCTGACTCTGGGCCTGGCCCTCCCCTGTGCTCCAAGGGCTGGTCGCAGATGCAGCCCCCTCCCAGCAGCGGAAGGAGGCCAGCCCAAGGACCCCAGACCCAGCTCCTTGCCGGGTGCCAGCTTTGCAGCTCCAGCAGAAGCAGGCCAGACTCCCGGAGCCCCCTCACCCTAGTGTGCTATGGAGGCCTGTCCCCCAGCCCCCAAGGCAGAAGGTCACAGGCCCCACACAGAGGTGGCAGTGGGGGCGGGGAGTGCATCCAGGCCACAGTGGCACAGCAAGGGGCATCCCCTCAGTTGACAAGCAATTATCACACACATGGGAGAGGACGTGGGGGGTGGGTTGGAAGAGTTATGGAACAAAAGGGGACAAGAGGTGGCTTCGAAAACCTTTCTGCAGCTTAACTATAAGGAGCCTGTAGGGAGTGAAGTGCAGCCTCTGTTTACAACGTTCCCAGGTTCTTATTTTATTGACACTTCCTATGTGTGCTAGATATTCTGTCGTGAACATGTTTTTATAATCAGGAAAAACAACTAATATTCAGGAAATATAAGCAGAAAACTGACACAGTGTTAGATCAGAGCTTCCACAGGCCACAGCGTTGGCAGGGATGCCCAGGAGGAGAGAACGAGGGCCGTGCAGGGTCCCGGGACACCTGCGTTCCTGTCCCCATCTTCCACCAACCCGCAGAGCTGCTGTGCGCAAGTCCCAACTTCATAGCCTCAGTTTTCCCAGCTGTCAAATGGGAGTAGCAGTGTCAGTGCTACCCACCTGCCTGGGTTGTACGGGAGATACCGTGATAACGAGACTCTCGTTCAGGGCCGTCGAGAGTGTCAGCCCCATGGGGCACGTGGGAGAGGCTTATAGGAGCCCGGCCTGCCCACGTGGGAGAAGGGAGTGCAGCTCTCGCCGGCACGGGCAACGCTGTAAGAGATGCTCCAGGGATGGAAACAAGACAACGCCATTTGAATCCCCGACTAACCACAGAAACCGCCTATACAATCACAGTGTGGGTGTCACTCATCTGCACAGTGCTCCCGAGGGGAGGTCCTGCTCCAGTCCCGGCATGCAGAGAAAGGCCGTGGACCAGCCTAAGGCAGCCCTCGCGAGCGTGCAGTCTATTCGGGAAATACCCAAAGGGCCAGGTGGCAAATGGGGCAGGGAAAGGAGCAGGCTCCACGGCCCCTTCCTCCCCCAGCACCCCCCACTGCACCGCAGCCTGGGCACCCCCAGCAGCCCCCAGCAAGGCCTCTTATCCCTGCTGGGAAGGCACTGCCCTGGGGCTGCAGCTGCCCAGAGTGGCAACAGGCGTTTGGGGACCAGCAGAGGGAGGTCCGCCTGCCTGGCGCTGGCCACACCCTCGCTCTATGTCCCCAGGAGGCAGAAAGCCCTCAGCGCTCCCTGTCCCCAAGCATGCTGAACCCTCCCTCCTGTGCCAGCCCAGCCTCTGCAGCTGAGGACCAGAGCAGAGTGCCACCAGGTGTCCCCAACGTGCCATTTGGGGCGGTGGCTTGCCACCATGTCCTCACTGCAGCCCAACCCCTGGCCTTCGGAAGAAACTGCAAGGCCCTGAATTCTAGCCCAGGCCTTACGCTCTGTGCTCACCCTCCACTCCTGCCTGGGGGTTTTCAGTGAAAATGACCACCTTTAAACAACTCCCCCCACCTCCCTGCAGAAAAAAAAGCCCTGGCGTCTAGGCTGAGATCTAAAATAGGCGGTAGGGACAGCCACTGTCCAGGAGCCCCACAGCACACACAGCGCGTCCCTGAGACAGGGCTGGCCAGGTCACTGAGTCGGGGCAAGGCCTGCAACACAAACACGAAAAGCCACAGGGTTCCAGTGCAGCACTGATGGGCTGGAAACCCTCAGCACACCCTGGGGCCCTGTCTGAGAATCAAGGCGATCACTATTCATTTGCCATCCAAGACAAAGAAAGAAGCCTTTAGCTCTTGAATAAGTCCTAAATCCTCCTATATAAACTCAGCCTCGGAATGGCAGCTGCTGAGGAGGAAGCCAGGCCCATCCCTCGTCTGGGGACATGTGGATGCACGGACCGCCCCCAACCAGCCCCTGTGGGCACAGGTGACCCCCATCCCGTCAGCACCAGGCACCTGGGAATGGGAGGCGGGAGAGCAGGACCGTGTGTGCAGATGGCCACCTGGCGGCCCTTACCCACGACCACGCCGAGTCCGGGGAGGTCTTGCCCTCTGAGGACTCCCAGCTGGAGCTGCAGACGGGGTCCTGCTCCTCCATGGCCCAGCGTGGGGTGCTGGCTGCCTCCTCACCCGGCGTTGGGAGACAAATGTCCCTGGGGCGACACCAGCTCAGGAGCTGGGAGGCTGGGCCAGGCGACACCGGAGCCCAGGGCAGGCGGTGCTTCCCTTTCCACCGTCCGGGAGCCCGGGCCAAGTCACAAGGCTCAGCAGAAGAGTGGAGTGTTGAATTGCAAATCCTCGCCCACCTGGGGCCGGCTGACAGGCAGCACCGGGAGAGCAGCACCAGGATGCAGAGATTCCAGAAGACGCCGCTGGCTTCTGTCAACTTGGAAGGGGACCCCAGGGGTGGGCCCTGTGCTCGTCATGTTCACCATGTCCCCACTCCAGCTCTCTGAGGCAGGGGGACGTCCCCATGGTCTCCCTGGGGAACTGATGGAGGAAGTGTGGAGGCAAAGTCCACCTCGAGGGCTGAGGGCTGGGCCTGGTGCTTTCTAGATAATAGCCCCTCCACTTTGTACTCTGAAAGCCCTGGGGAGTCCCTCTCTGTCCCCTGCAGGGGGCCTGGGTGGGGAAGGGCCCAGGGTCACATGAGTGGCACTCAGCCCCGCCTGCCATTGCGACAGCGCTCAGGGGTGAACACTCCCCACGTGCCAGGCCCCGTGCTGAGCACTGAAGGAGCAGAGCACACAGTCTTCGCAGCAGCCCTGTAAGGCTGTGGACAGAAACAGAAGATTCAAGAACTGACCATGGGTCCAAAGCCCGGAAGTGGCAAAGCAGGGCCAGGGCGACCACAGGGACAATGCTCTCGGTCTAATCCCAGCCCCTGCCGTCTCAGAGTCTGTCCAGAGCAGGGCGGGGAGGGCTCAGGGGGCTGGCCTCGGGGCGGAAAGGAGCAGTACTAGGGTGGTTTGCAGGGAGGCCGGGCAGCAGGTGCACCTTGAGAGTGGGCACCAGGCCACCATCTGCTTTGACAGCCACCGAGGGAGAGGACTCTGTGCCTGGAGCACGGCAGGCTGAGGGAAGGGACTTGCAGAGAGCGCCATGTGAGCACAGTTTGGGGTGAAGACGAGGCCGTGAAGGGGGAAGGCTCTGCGGGAGGCTTCCTGACTCAACCTCTCCCTCCCACCACGAAGCACAGTCTCTAGTTCCTTCCTTCTCCCAGAGGGCCTTCCCTGAGTTCACTGGGGCTCCTCTTCCTCATTGCCTCCAGAGGGGCCCTGTTGAGATCCATCTGGGCTTGATGCGGGAACAAAATGAGAACATGCACGAAAGGTACCTGGCTTCTCCCGTCTCATGCAACAGGTAGCCTGCAACTGCCTCATTCGACAGCTCAGAGGATGCACCTGCTAAGGGCGTGGTGGGCTCAATCCCAGGCCTCTGCCATCCCAGGTCCCTGTGCCACGACCCTGGCCACCTGGACACGGATGCCCCTGGCCTGCTCTTCCCCAGGAGAGCTCAGGGAGTGGTGGTGAGGAACCACCGGCAATAGCTCCCATACTCCGATGCCCCGAAACGTCCTTAAGTGTAAGGGCGAAAATAACAACGCTTTGGGACACTTCTAGCGAGCTGGGTCACCAGCACTCTTACTATTTTTAATTCATCCTGTCAAGATATTTTAAGAACCTCATGACCCATGAGTGATAAGATTATGAGGAATTATACCTGGCCATGTTTAGCATTTGGCCAGAAATCTGATGGAAGCATACCACGCGCACAGGTGACAGTCGCTCTGATCGGAAGCACAGCGGGAGGCAGCACATCGATTAGACGGCGACAGGGGGCCTGCAGCCAGCTGCACCTTGGCCCTGGGCCTCGGGGCTCTGGGCTGGGAGGAGTTATAACATTTCACACCCTTGCTGGCAGCAGGTGTTGGAACAGGCGGTCACAGTGGCATGTGTCCCACTGCTATGTCAGGCTGCTGAGAGTGGCACTGCCTGGATGGTGAGCAAAGAAGTGGGTAAGTGACCATTGAAGGGGACCTGAGCCTGCTCCAGGGCCCCCCGGAAGGTCCGCATAGTGGTTGAATCCCACAGTCTGGACCAGACAGCCCTGGGCTCCTGGACTGACCCTGCCCGTTGGACACCGTTGTGACTCAGGGCAACCCACCCAAACTCTGGGAACCTTTGTTTCTTTGCCTGGGAAAGTCCAGGGAAAAAATAGACTCTCTCCCTCAGAAGGCCGTTGTGGGGATGCCTGAGGCCCTGCACGAAAGTCCTCGACGTCTCCGGTGAGTGGTGACAGCTGAGAACCCTCACAGGCCCTTCTCAAGGAGGCGCAGAGAGCACCGGCTCGCAGAGGAGGAAGCGGAGCCCGTTTCCTGCCCGACCGCCGTGGGCTGCCCGCCCTCCAACCTTTCCCGCCGCAGAGCTCCGCGTCCTCCGTCCCCTCTGGTGCCCATAGCCAGGACCACGCTGAATTTCCCCTGAGCCGCTTCCCTGGGAGCCCCCTGGCTGTCAGGAATCCACAGGACACCGTGGGACACCTGGCAGCAGGCGGGTCTGGGAGTCACCTATGAACCCCCAAGAGCTCTTTGTGTTTTCCTGTTTTTCAAAGCTTAGCTCTTGCGGTGACTCCTTCCTGGAGCTCGTCTCTCCTGCTTTCTTCCTTTTCAAACTGTCCACTTCCAAGGCCCAGGTCAAACCCCCTCCTCCAGGAGGCCTTCCCTGATCTCTCAACCCCATAATGACTTTGCTTTCCTTTGGCCTTTGAGGGAAAGGGTGAGATTTGGGATTGACGTGTCTGAGTTCCTTCTGTGTGCTGAGTGCTTTCTTACATTGTTGGATTCAATTTGCTAACATTTTGTTGAGGATTTTTTGCACCTATGTTCATAAGAGATATTGATGCATAGTTTTCTTTCCTTGTAATGTCTTTTTCTGATTATGGTATTAGGGTGATGCTAGCCTCATAGAATAAGTTAGGAATTATTCCCTCTGCTTCTAGCTTCTGAAAAGAGATTGTAGAGAATTGATATAATGTCTTCCTTAAATGTTTGGTAAAATTCATCAGTGAACCCTTCTGGGCCTGGTGCTTTCTGTTCAGGGAGGTTATTAATTATTGAGACCATCCCTTCTTCTGACTGCAAGCTCAGAGTCCTCTCTGCTATACCAGCCTAAGCCTTGGGAGACTAAGTACTTGCAGAATTCGTCCAGAGAGAAGCAGAAATCTTGCCTTTTCCCAGGTCCTATAGGCCTTATTGAACTATATGAAACCCATTAAAAAGTTAAAAATGTATTGGTACTGTTTATTTGCTTCAAAAAGTATGTGTTTAATGTTCATCCCTATGGGATCCTTAAACTTAAGGGAAACTGAAATGACATTCTCAAAGGACTGGGAAAGTATGTATCTGTCAGTGACAAAGGAGTTCTTTGAGGCTGTTAGTGCGGCATTGAAACAGCACCTTAGCAAGAACCATAACATTCCAGAACGTTGCAGTGCTGGCAAAGTCTTTCCCAAGTCCCTCTGGGACTGCACACGCAGAAAACAGGCACACACAGGCCCAGGTGCAAGACAAAATCTCCACGTCTATTTGTGCGACAAGTAAAAACTCTCGCACAGATTCACTCATTCAATCTTCACAGAAATTCTGCAACGTAGACAATATTTTCAAGTTGCAAAACTAAGTTCAGAGAGGTTTAAAAGCCTTGCTCAAGGTCACAAAGCTGGTCAGTGGTGGAGTCTGGCCCGCTTTCCACCAGCACGCGCTCCCTGAATGGAACGGAACCAAGAAGTGCGACCCTCGCGAACAGGCTTGCACTGGCAGCCCATGTGGCCCAGAGACACCCTTTGGGGGCGTGTCCTCCCACTTCTGAAGTTTCCCCGGGAGGAGGCGGCGCTGGCTCACCAGGCACCTCGCCCAGTCTCTGGGCAGTGAGAGGGAGGGAGCGCAGCCCGGGCAGCGGCATGGAGACCAGCCGCCCGCGGCCCCCGCCGCCCAGCCCCACCGCGGGGCTGAGCCTGGACGCCCGGCTGGGCGTGGACACGCGCCTCTGGGCCAAGGTGCTGCTCACGGCGCTCTACGCGCTCATCTTCGCGCTGGCCGCGGCGGGCAATGCGCTGTCCGTGCACGTGGTGCTGAAGGCGCGGCCGGGGCGCGCGGGGCACCTGCGCTACCACGTGCTCAGCCTGGCGCTCTCCGCGCTGCTGCTGCTGCTGGTCAGCGTGCCCATGGAGCTCTACAACTTCGTGTGGTTCCACTACCCCTGGGTCTTCGGCGACCTGGGCTGCCGCGGCTACTACTTCGTGCGCGAGCTGTGCGCCTACGCCACGGTGCTCAGCGTGGCCAGCCTGAGCGCAGAGCGCTGCCTGGCCGTGTGCCAGCCCCTGCGCGCCCGCCGCCTGCTGTCGCCGCGCCGCACCCGCCGCCTGCTGGCGCTCGTCTGGGCCGCCTCGCTCGGCCTCGCCCTGCCCATGGCCGTGATCATGGGGCAGAAACACGAGTTGGAGACGCCGGGCGGCGAGCCTGAGCCCGCCTCGCGCGTGTGCACCGTGCTGGTGAGCCGCGCCACGCTGCAGGTCTTCATCCAGGTAAGGGGGGCGGGGGAAGGAGGGAGCCGCCCCGGCCCCGGAGCAGACATTTTCAACCCTGACGCTTGCCACCACCCAGGAAGTTGGGTCTCCTTGCCCCTTTTTACAAAAGACTTGGGGAGAGACTTGGCCAAGGCGAAGCATTGAGAGAAGTCGCCATTTGAATTCACAATCAACCAGGAAGTCCGTGCTCCTCCCACTCTTAGGAGAGTGGTGCTCAATTGTTAACGGGTATAAAATTGCCCGGAGAGCCTGTGAAAGTACAGATTTCATGACACCTCCCGCTATGGCTCTGGAGGGGACCTCCCTGGAGGCTGGGCGAGGATGGGGGAGGTGCTCTGGGCTTCTCTCCTGATCTCCTGATCAGTTCTAACTGCACTTCCTATTACACCCCCGCTGCTCCCCCATTCCCCACCCTGCGCCTGATCTCTGGCTTTTATAAAAGCTCTTTCTTCTGCTCTCTCCCCTCCAGCCCTTCTTGTCCCTCTAAGTGCTGCTGTTGTACTCTCACCACCTCCCTAGCACCTT